CCGCCCAGACCCCCCCGGGGTGGTGCTGACGGGTGTCTCCCCGTGCAGTTCGACGGGACGCACATCGTCAGCGGGTCCTTGGACACCTCCATCCGCGTGTGGGACGTGGAGAGCGGGAACTGCCTCCACACCCTGATGGGCCACCAGTCGCTGACGAGCGGCATGGAGCTGCGGGACAACATCCTGGTGTCGGGCAACGCCGACTCCACCGTCAAGATCTGGGACATCAAGACGGGCCAGTGCCTGCAAACGCTGCAGGGTGAGTGCTGGGGGGCACAGAGCCCCTCGCTGGGGGGGACCCTTGGTCAGGGAGGGGAGCCCCAGGAGGAGGGGGAAGGGTTTGACCCTGAAAGAGGGGAGATGGAGCTGAGCTGTGGGGAAGAACTTGTTTGGTGGGAGGGTGGTGAGAGCCTGGCCCAGGTTGTGTGGAGAAGCTGTGGCTGCCCCATCCCTGGAGGGGTTCAAGGGCAGGTTGGAGGGGGCTTGGAGCAACCTGGGCTGGTGGGAGGTGTCCCTGCCCAGGGCAGGGGGTGGCACTGGGGGGGCTGTAAGGTCCCTTCCCACCCAAACCCTTCCATGGCTCTGTGTTGCTCCCAGTGCCAGATGTGGCAGGGACGGGGCAGATGTTGCCCAGCAGTGGGTGCTGGGGTTGGAGGTTTGAGGGGTGGAGGAGGAGGAGGAAAAAGAGGAGGAGAAGGATGAGCAGGAAGAGGAGGAGGAGGAGGAGACAGAGGAGCAACACGAAGAGAAGGAGGAGTAAGAGAAGGAGGAGTAGGAGAAGGAGGAGGAACAACAACACAAAGAGGAGGAGGAGGAGGAGGAAGAAGAAGGGGAGAAGGAGGAGGAACACAAGGAGGAGGAGGAAGAGGAGAAGCCCTAACTTCCCCTCTGCCCCCAGGGCCCAGCAAGCACCAGAGCGCTGTCACCTGCCTGCAGTTCAGCTCCAAGTTCGTGGTGACCAGCTCGGACGACGGCACCGTGAAGCTCTGGGACCTCAAGACGGGGGAGTTTGTGCGGAACCTGGTGGCCCTGGAGAGCGGGGGCAGCGGGGGGGTGGTGTGGCGCATCCGCGCCTCCAACACCAAGCTGGTGTGCGCCGTGGGCAGCCGCAACGGCACCGAGGAGACCAAGCTGCTGGTGCTGGACTTCGACGTGGACCTCAAGTGAAGCCGGCGGGGTCCCGGCTGGGGTGGGGGGACCCCGCGGGCTCTGGGGTAGCCGCTGGGCTCGGTGGGGCTGGCCCCGGAGCAGGCGCTACCCCCCCGCGGGCTGTAAATACCGTTTGCAGCTCAATGGGCCTTATTTATAGACGCGTGACCCCCCCGCGGGAGCCAGGCCCGGCGGGGGCACTGTACAGAGGAAGCAGCATGTTTTGTACACACTAATATATCGATCTATTTCTGTACCCGGGGCCTTCTTTCCCCTGAGACCCCCCTTCCCGGAGCTTCTCTCCTTCCCCGGCCCAGGGAGCCCCCCCGGGAAGGGGCAGCCCCTGAGCAGACACGGGGGGTTCCCTCCCACACCCCTCGGATCCAGTGGGAGGAGGCAGAGGGGGCACAGAATGGGCACAGAGTGGGCACAGAGTGGGCACAGAGTGGCCAGTGGCCACTGGCCGGGCAGCGGCTGGAGGGGGGGGCAGGGGAGGGGACGGACCCCCAGCTCTGCTGTGCCCGAGGTTTGTGCCGTGGCCGAGGTTTGTCCATGGTGGGGAGGGGGGCACCGCTGCCCCCCCAGCTCCCGGGAGCGGCCGTGGCTCCGGGCAGGGTGCAGCCCTCCCAGCCCCTGCCCGGGCACCGCTGGCCCTGGGGGGTCTGTGCTCGTGGGGTGAGGGGACCCCGACCCTTCAGGGCACCCGGGCGGCAGCCAAGGACCTTCCTGGCACCAGGGACCTCCCGGCTCCTCCAGCGGGAGCTGGGGTCAGGGTCAGGGTCAGGGACTGTTTGGGGGGGAGACGGCTTCTGCCCCCGTCCCTGTGTCCCCAGCTCCTGCTGGGAGCCTCGGGGCCGGTTGCCGCTGGCCAGGGGCCGGTGGCAGTGGGGGGGCCAGGAGAGCACGGTGCTGGGCCACCAGCAGCTCCTCTGCAGGAGGGGGGCCCCGCTGGGTGGGAGCTGCTGGATGCCCCTTGGGGTCTCTGGATCCCCTCGTCCCCGGGCAGACCTGGGGCTGTGTCCCTGTCCCCCCCCCGGCCCGTGGAGGGGACTGTCCTGGTGCCGTCGGTGCCAGGGGAGCACCCGTGTTCCCGGCCCCCCCAGCCCCAAACACGCGTGTCCCGTGTGGGTCGGTGCCGGGGTCAGGCAGCCCCCGGGAGGGATACGGCGGCTCTGGGGCAGGAGGAGTTGGGGGGGCTGGGATCGGGGCTGGGGGGTCCTGGAGCTGGGGATATGGGGACCAGGAGCTGGGCTGTGGGGGTCTGGGCTGTGGGGGTCTGGGATCGGGGCTGGGGGGGTCCCGGCTGAGCCAGGGCGGGGTGTGTGTCTGTCTGTGGACACAGGGTGAAGTCGGACACACGGAGTTAAAGCCCCACCCGGGGAAGGCACAGACCCCCCCCGGCCGGGACAACGGGGACGATGGGGATGATGGTGGCCACAGTCGGGCTCTGGGGGTGTCCCGTCCATGGTGGGGGCAGACGGGGGAAGCACACGCCTGGGGGGGTCGATGCAGCTCTGAATCTGTATTTGGGGGCAACAGCCCCTCTTTATTTGGGGGTGACACGGGGTTTGCTCCCCAACACCCAAACTGCTGCTGGATGGGGGGGGGGGGGGG